CTACTAGGACAAGCTATAACATTTTGAACTTGTTGTCTTCCTTTATTACTGAATAATGTTTCTTACTTCTTTCATGGTCTTTGACAAAAAATCATCATCCAGTCTTCTGTGGTTTCCAGGTATCTTCGCAGGCCGATAGTCCTTGTTTTGCAAGACACTTGAACGAATCCTTCGTTTTCTGGGCATATAGAGCCGATTAACATCAACATTTGGAAGATGCATGCGGTAGAAAATGTCATACTTTCTCGTTCTGGCGTCCATTCGATTAATGTTATCTATGCTTTAATTAAAGATGTTGAAACTATATTGCACCACAAGGACAGCCAAAGTGTTTATCGCTGATATTGTTTGTTCGAATTTACCCCAGTATTTAATCACAGATGTGCACGTCTGCATTATTATTTTCTTTTATTCTCCTCCGTTTGTCTAGGCTATATTCTGTTCTTCGCATAATTTCTAGGTACCTATAAACTTCTTCCTTTTCCTTAATCTTTGGACAAAATCTGGACCTATTGAATGTTTCCCTTGCTTGAATGTTACTTTCGCACATTTATCTAATCCGAGATACATAACTCTGTCGTCAATGATATATTTTACTGTATTGAGAACACCGTTTAATTCATTATCGTCTTTAGAAAAGAGTTTGAGGTCATCGTTGTAGAGTAGGTTATTGAATACTTTCTTATTTAGAGTGTAACCACAACTATTACTGTTTAGTTTATGCGTAAGTGGGATGAAGGACAGACAAAACGGAAGGGCTGACAGATTTTCTCCTTGAAACTTTTCTCGTCGGATATTCAGATGGTTTGAGATGGCAGTGCCTCTGGTATGATTTAGGTATAATGTGGTTTTCTACATTCTCATGCTATTCCTTACGGAAATTTATTATCACCGATGAGATCTTTTACATTTCCAATATCCGAAGTACCTAAGAGTTTGGCATACTATCAAAGGCTTTACGGTAATATATCCATGCCGTGCTGAGAATTCTACATCTTTTCCTGCAAGTGAGCTTCATCAGGACAGACGTGATCAATTTATACGTTGTGGGAAGACATGTTATTAGCTTATCATTTTTCGAAACATCTGTTTCATCCGTTTTTGGTAAGAGTATGTAAAACATTCAGTGATACATTCTGAGTTTTCACTGAGATTATTAATAAGCATTAATAAAATTTGTGCAAAGGTTTTATGGATTGATGACAGATGATTGATCCAAAACGTCGGTATCTTGTCATTTCCTGGGGATTTCCATTTTGGAGATATTGTTAGGGCTTACCTAACATTCTTGGGTATATTTTCCCATTCTTGTCGATGATTATCCATCATTCGTTCTTTTCTTTGGATCCATTCTGCATCGGGGTTTATATTCCTTTGGGCCGCTCCAAATATTCTCCCAAAATTTCGACACTTTTGGTGGCCTTTTTATCATCTATAACTTCTTCTTCTTCTTCTTCTTCTTCTTCTTATTATTATTATTATTATTATTATTATTATTATTATTATTATTTTCTTTGATTTCTGGCGTTTACAGATTTCTTTCCGGGTCCCGCCCAGGGACCTAAGGTTAGAAATGGCATCATGACACTTTCCACTGACAAAAAAAAATAAAAAATAAAAAAAAAATTACATAGATAAAGCCCTTCGTAAGGTGTGGGCTGTAAGTGTCAGAACAAATTTTTGTATCTCCTTGAGGCATGGACTTCCAAGAATCCCTTCAATTTGTCTACTGCAATCTTTTCCAACCAGTCCTACAACTACAACAGGGATTGTTGATGTTCCCATATGCCACATTTTCGAGATTTCTCTTTCAAGGTCCTTGTATTTTGACAGCTTTTTGAATATCTTTAAAGATACATTGCAGTCAGCAGGGACTGACATATCAACAAGGAGGCACCGTTTTTGTTTGTGGACTTTAATAACAATATCTGAGCGGTTGGATTTGATTATTCTGTCAGTGTGTATTGTGTAGTCCCATAGAATTGTAACAGGTCTTATCTCCGTAACCGGGTCTGGGTGATGTTCATACCACTTTCTTTCAGCTTTCTTCCCGTAGAAGTTGCTGATTTTCCAATGCAGATATTGGCCCACTCTGTCATGCCGGGTTTATATTCAGTGAGTGCCAATATCGTGCAACCTGATACAAGATGATCAAACGTTTCTGGATATTTATCACAGAATCTGCATTTTGGGCTGACACAATATTTTAGTATAGTGATTTTCCAAGCGTAGCTTGGATGTGGCACAAGGCAGAAGTAAGGGACACCCAGTGAGGATCGAACTCACTACTCATTGCTAACCATTACACCACCTCGAAATGCCCTACAATATTTTAGTATATGTGCTTGATAATTCCTAGTTAGCAAGCATTGGTCCTGTGGAGCAAGGATAAAACCTTCAGTTTCAGCTTTCAACCCTGCACTCCGTAGCCACTGATGGGCACGGGTTTTGTCTACGTCCGCTTATTATTATTATTATTATTATTAATAATAATAACAACAACAACAATAACATCAACATCAACAACAACAATAATAATAATAATAATAATAAATATTTACTGATTCTACACAAAGCAAGACTTTTCTGGTTTTGGTTTTAATTGATTAGCAAAGTTAAAACATTTTTTTTTTATTTTGGTGAATTAAGTTAAACTACAAGAAATATAGCATTTCGCGCCACATATTTACTTGTTAGTTTTCTGAATCTTAAACGTTTGGTACTATGCATCGGAGAAGGTTGTTCTTGTAATCGTGGTATTACACTCAATTCTTAAGTTGGAGTTTGGCATGATAATTAATGACAAAATATATTTTTACAAATCTTTACCGTTTTTTGAGGAAACAAATTTAACATTTATGTTTCAATTTGAGCGTTGGAATTACATTCCTCCAATCAGTGAAAGACTTTTAATAAAGCCTTATAAAATTTATAATTGAAATATATGCAGTTAGTTGGTTTGAAATTAAAAGGGATAATAAATTCCATATCAAATAATTGTATCTCTTCAACATGATCCAAAGAATAAAGCAATACTCGACCGAAATATAGAATGCTGCAAGAAAACATTATAGCTCAATGGTTTTACTTGCTTCCCGAAAATATTATTTCATTGGTGAATTCAGATGAATTGGTGGTCAGCGAAGAGACTATAAAGATTTAGATAAGTAAACATTTACTTAAAATTCATTAGTTATCTCAATTTATGAGGCTAAATTTAAAATTTAATTCAATTCATATCATAAAAATAAATAACCAATGATGGGTTAACTTTCCTATGAATTTATATTTTTCGTTTCAAAAGTAATGAGTCATCAAATAAAACAGTTACATTTATCAACTCAGAATCGGCAAACTGGTTAAATTTCATTAACCTCTCTCAAAATCTGCTTGCAGAATATTATACAAATAATTAACTGTAAGTGGTTTTAATGAATGAAACGACGTTGGAGTTGCTGAATTTAACTGCAAATTTTCAAGTTGTGGAAAGAGCAGGTAAACTAACTACTGAAGCTTGTATAGGAGCAAGAAACAAATAAAAACACATTATTACTAAATCATTGTACAATCAAATAAGACCTTCATTTACTTCAAAAGTAAATTATTCGGAACAATGTAGCTATATTATGATGTTATATGTTATACTGTTCAGTATGTTGAGCGATTTTCAGTAACCAATGCAAATTTGAAACATTTTGCTTTATAATTTGGGCTCGGCAGTATTATGGTAATATATACATTTTTAACCATTTTTTATTATTAATTATAGGGTGAGTTTATTAATTGATTGGTCTTTTTTGTAAACTTTTACAATTTTTACAGGTTTCACCTATCGGATACAGTAAAAGAATGCATATTTTATTTGTGGTGAATCATAATTAGAATTCTAGTTTAAAAACAATTTCCATTCAATGTATTTTGTAGAAAAATATCAACTTTATTCGGATTTATTATTGAAAGAGTAAAATTGTGATGACAGTTTCTGTATATTTTATCAGGCGATATTTAAAATTAAATGCTCCAAAAGGGATAAAAGGTAAGAACAAAACCTTGAGTGTTAGTACTTATCATTATCAAACCCCAGGTTTCGCAAGGAGTGCAATGTTGATTTTCTAAAAGTAAGAAAGTTAAGTCTACTCTACTGTGCAAATCTGTTCATGAGAGGGCGTAGCCGAGGTACATCAAGACCGAAAGTTAAGTTTTAAGTATGTATCAACCAAGGCGACTGGGCAGTGTAGAACACCCTCAGTCGGAAGGAGTCTGCTGCGTTTTTAACATGGCTCCAACTGTGAAACTATGCGATGGATCTATCAAAATATTTCACTACATCGCACATATTCTGCTGTGATGCCGGTGTCTGGTATACACATTTCACGGTGGACGTTATTATGCGTATATTGGGCTGCGTATATTTTTGCACCAGCGTCTTTTTTTTTTTTTTGCGCACTGTTCTCTGAATAATAATAATAATAATAATAATAATAATAATAATAATAATAATAATAATACTGTAGTGAAATTAACTAAAATCGAATAAGTACAAGAGCCAAATGACATAAAAAGATCCATATTCCATTCGACGGACGGTTTGGGCCAAAAGCCAATATAAAATCACTGCCAAGTTACCCTCGAAAGTAACATGATTTCCCTGTTGATTTGACATGTTAGAAATTGCAAATATTTCTATGGTGAACATGTTTTCATTACTCTTTTATGGATTGTCAGAAGTTACATATCACTCTCAACATATATAGAAAGTTTGTATAAATATTAATGGAACCTGCAAGGTAATATGTTAACATATAAAATTAAAATAAGAAAAGTTTCTCGTTTCTTTTCTCGATTATCTTGTTTGCGACATATCATTAATTCTCAAAAAAAAATGTCAAAGATTTAACAATCGATTACTTACACACATTACTGTATATATTCCCTCATTCATTCTGGCACTGACGCATTCAATCAGTCTCTTTCACTCACTCACACATTCAATCAATCAGTCTCTTTCCCTCACTCACACATTCAATCAATCAGTCTCTTTCACTCACTCACACATTCAATCAATCAGTCTTTTTCACTCACTCACACATTCAATCAATCAGTCTCTTTCCCTCACTCACACATTCAATCAATCAGTCTCTTTCACTCACTCACACATTCAATCAATCAGTCTCTTTCACTCACTCACACATTCAATCAATCAGTCTCTTTCATCACTCACGCATTCAATCAATCAGTCTCTTTCCCTCACTCACACATTCAATCAATCAGTCTCTTTCACTCTCTCACACATTCAATTTTATGGATCATTCAGACAGTAATTCCATGTCGTTTTGTTTATGAAGATACACTATTTCCGCGTCCTGTGTAAGACGATAAATTACATCCAACTGTGACGTTGTTTCCCGGTCGCAGCGCCGACTGTGACGTTCTATCCTGATCTACCACGGCGCCAGTTGTGACGTCCCCAAAGAGCACCAATTGTGACGTCCTCGCCGCGGCGCCAGCTGTTCGCTCCTCGCTGCTCCGTTCGGGTGTCGCTGCTCCAAACGTGACGTCCGCCTGTCGCGTCAGTCGTGTTGTCTCGTCCTGTGACGACCAACTGGCTTGGTATCGGTCGCGGCACCCAAATGTGACGTTCTAACCTTTTGGTGATTCGGGTGGGAATCTTGTTAGATTTGATATCAGCCTCGTCGTTCCCAACTCGCTTCCAACGCCTGGTTACCAAGGTAACTGCATTGATCTCCAGTTTGCCTACCCACGTTGTGAATTGATCCTAGACAGACGAGATCAAACAGTGGTGGGGCCGTAATGCAAACTGAGTTCAACGGGGGTGATACTACACAAATATGCATAAAATAAAATAAAATGAAAACTCAAAAAGTTCAAAGTATCAAAGAAAAAGGTAACAAACTTTATGTCTAGTTGTTCGATACATAGGACTGCATCTATCTCCCAACCCGTTCTGTGGATTGTGACACGTCGTTTTCCGTTAGGCAAGTTTTTACCGCTTCAAGTTGTTTGCTCTCTAAGAAATTGGCGTTTAGGTGTGTCTTTGGACGAAAGTCGAAAAAAAACTTATTTCGGTGGTCTGGTTCTAAGTCGCTCTTCAAAATAATTGTTCTTGGGTTGAAGAGGAGTCCGGAATTTTGCGTGAATCTTGGTCAGCTATCAGCGAGGCGGCTTCAACTCTGGAAACTCAACTCTCCGTTGGAGCCCAAACTCTATGATTTCTGCCTGTTGTGCCTCGCTTTTATTGACGCCGACCAAAACCGGGGTGGGTCTGTCGGCGTCGGGGGGTTCCTCGATAAATCTAAATACATATCCACCTCTTTTATTTCTGGTTAGGGATTTTCCACTCTTTTCAATTTTTGGGAAACTTTCCTCACTCCCACTTTCTCACCATACTTCTGAGGGGCGTGAACTGCCCTCCCCACTTCCTCGTAGCAGCTTCTCATACTTATACTCTGGATGAGACGTCGACAGCCTTCTTCGTGCGTCACGTGATCACCACTCGGCCGATGAGGTCTTAGTCGGGTATCTTTCCTCCTCCTTCGTGCGTCACGTGATCACCACTTGACCAGTGATGTTTTAGTCGGGCGTGAACGAATCCGCGGCTTTGTTTCGGGAAAATAATATCTTGCTTAACTAAAAAAAATTATCTCTTCTCTTTCCCTTTTCTTCCGCTTTAATCGCCGTTATCATTTTTTTTTTTTAGCCGCAAACGGACAATATGACAACTCTTGTTCTACACGTGGTTTTTGTCAGGTATTTTATCGCTAATTATCAAAATGGGTGGTCTTCTTTAACACGGCCTCAAAAAAAAGAAATATCTCTAAAGTTTCAGTCAGTCTGTCGCCTCCAAGGAAGAAGAAAAAACACTTCTGGGTCCCCATTCATTTTCCTTCGGTACATATTTCTGATAACATAATTTTATTATCGCAGGCCTAAGTTGTTTCGTCGAAAAAAAATCGGTCAGCGGACACGGTTTGTGTGGCTTTTAATTTTTCATATCTACCCTGTAGTTACACCTGTGTTTTGTCAATTATCAAAATTAACGTTTTCAATTGAATTTTTCCCTGGCCAGCCGACCAGCCGTTTTGTTTACGTACTCCTAGATAACACAGCCGTTATCAAAACACATCTGTTTCTTTCTTTCTTTCCCTTTCTTCTTACCCAGAATTTCCCTGTCATTGTAATGACACCCTTTCGCCATGGTTACTTATCAATATATTCATTGTCTCTTAGCCGTGTGTGTGTTCTGCTGATCACCCATGATTCGTCTCGCCTTTCTTTCTGCCTTCTTTTCTTTCTTTTCCTTTCTCTGCCTCGTAAATGGTGCCACAAACGGCAAGGCCTCTGATGAAGAGGTTTTGAAGAGCGTGGCACCACCTCTTAATTGCTGGTGCTTCCAGGTCAACCCTAACCCTGTGTGGTAGCACCTGTTGGGGCCCCAGCTATGGATAAATAGTTAACCCCCAAACTGGGGTTAAAACAATAGAAAGTGTAAAATTAGGTATTAATCCCAGAAACACTTTGTAAAAAATTATTACCAGTAATAAATATTTGAAGAAAAATTATTACCAACAATACATTTTTGAAAAAAGAAAAAAAAACTAACAACAGCTATATATTAAAACAATACCAGCAATAACAATCTTGTCGGCATTAAATAATAAAACAAACGAAACCAAATTAATTCCATGAATTTCTCACTCAAATACTCAATCACTTATGCACACATTTACTCAATCTGTCTTTTACGCACGCATTCACTCACAGACATCCATAATTTGCCCCTTTCAAAATACTTGGTAACAACGATTATATATAATAGGCGTTATTTTGTCTGCAGACCAAAACAAATATGAATAATAATTACATGAGATATAAAATCACGAATTTCATTACTACTAAAGGATATATAAAGTCCAAGGACGGAACACTGATATTAGGGAAAGAAAAAATACTCCAGTGATGGAATGAATATATCGGAAAACTCTTCCACGATGAAAGAGAACAACCGGAAATATACAGAAATATTGACGGACCTGAAATATTAATATCTGAAGTTGAAGCGAAAGTATCTAAATTGAAAAGAAACAAAGCGGCAGGGTTAGACGGAATTGTAATACAGATACCGGCAGCCTTAGACGATTTCAGCAGAGACAAGATCAGATATAATATATGAAATCTGCAACAATGGCGATATACCGGATTACCAAATTATATCTATTGTCATAGCCAGGTGGAAACGAATACGATCTCTATCGGATAATCAAGTTAATGACGCATATAACGAAACTGATCATACGAATTATGATGAATAGAACACGTAGCAGAATCAGACCAGAAATAGGACAAGAACACTATGGGTTCGTCAAACATACTGGAACAAGAAAGGCTATATTTATGCTCAGAATGAGATCAGAAAGAGCAATACAAATGCAGAAAGAATTGTACCTGTATTTCATTGATTATGCAAAGGCTTTCGATAAATTGCACCACAGGTATATGTTGGAACTGCTCAGGAACCGTAACATATTAGGGAAAGATATTAGAACAATCAAGAACATACACTGGCAGCAAACTGCCTACATATGGGTAGAAAATGAATTCACCAGAAAGGGGTGTAAAAATGATGTCTTCTCACCGGACTATTTCAACATATACAGCGTAGCGATTCTGAAAGAATTAGAAGACCTGCCAGGATTATTATTGGCGGACACAATCTTAACAACATCAGGTATGCAGATGACACGGTGTTGTTAGCAGACACAGAAAGAAAGCTATAAAATCTCCTGCAGGAGGTCGTGAAGGAAAGTGAGAAGAAAGGATTAAACATCAACTATAAGAAGACATAATGCATAGTTGTTAGCAAAAGGATAAGCCTGTAGTGTGAAACTGCAAATCGGAAGTACCAAAATCAAACGAGTGCGGAATTTTAAATATCTGGGAAGTGTTTTAACAGACGACGGAAAGTCCGAAAATGAAATCTGAAGCCATATTGGTATAGCCAAGATGGCAAAAACTTAGGAATACTAAGAAATTGGATACTTTCGCCCGAAACAAGGGAAAGAGTGCTAAATTGCTATGTAATATCTGTCCCCCTGTATGGTAGTGAGTGCTAGACAATCTCTTCAAATATGAAGATGTGACTTGAAGCAACAGAAATCTAGTCCTACAGAAAGATGCTGAGGATACCGTGGCCAGAACATGAGAGCAGCAACGACGTTTTAGAGAAAAATGTAAGCAAAAAGGGAACTAATAATTAACATCGGGTAGGGACAGTTGTTTCTGGGGCATATAATGAGGAAGGAGGGCTTGGAAAATCAGATATTCATGGGACGGATAGTGGGCAAGATGGATATGGTAAAATAACGCATAACATATTTAGCGGGCATGAGTATATATATGCCGGCACAGGACGTGGGCGAAATAAGCAAAAGACAGAGTTTATTAAGAAGTAAAAAGGTCAGGAAGTTGTGGAGAGCCCTGATCGCCTTCATCCTGAGGAGAGACGGCACATAAAGAAGTACAGATTGTACCTTTTCTTGCATTCATTCTAATACTCCTCCTCCTCCTCTTACTACTACTACTACTAATAATAATAATAATAATGATAATAATAATATGAACAACACCCAGACATATCTGTAGATATCAATGAATTGAGTGATATCACTAGTCATGAATAAACTGATATCAGTAGATAGACTTGAATAGTCTGATATCAATAAGCATTAGTGAGATCGATACATAGGCATGAATGGATTAACATCAATAGATAGAAAGAGAGTGAAATAATTTTCGATATGATTCTAACGATGCGATTTTATATTTTACAGTCAAATATAAATGTAAGCAATGTCATAGTTTGATGGAAATCATATTGTTGATATCTTTCTTTCTTTTTTCATCATTTCCACACAACCAAGGCAATAAAACCACTAAGACCCAAGAGTTACTGAATGTGAAAGTAGAAAAAAAAGGGAAACATTATTATAAATAGCGAGAACAATAAAAGAAGAATAATCAAGAAGACAGTAGATAACGATTGACATTGACTTTCATCTTTTGTTTTTCTCCCTTCTTAATAATGTTTTGATTTTTCTCGTATTCTTCCACATTCAATAGACCCTTACATCTTACTGATTTTATGGACATGCTTAGGTGAAATTATTAAAAAAGGTTAATATATGATGTTTGAGTTGTAATTATAGTAATTTAAAATACGACTTTGAAATCATAGCAATCAATAACTAAATTACTTCTTAGTATGATCAAATGATTTTTAATATATAATATACATTTTTCTATA